TGGAGGATTAGATGGTCTGCTAATGCTAATGACATGATTACCAAGGGCATTCTGTTTGTTGCTTCAATATTGGAAGATCTCAGTTGCTTTACTAATGCAGTGTTAAGCATCTCTGCTACATGTATGAGTTCACATATGTGACTGTGAGCATTTAACCAATGTATATGTTTCTGGAAATACATGTATGGTAGCCGTTACAGACTATTGTAAAATGTCATGCAGTTTGAAACTCATTTTGTACAAAGCAAACTTTCAAACTCCATAGAACAGCGTTGTAGATTGATGGTGAGCATTGTATCTTGCTTTATTGCATTGCTGCTGCTTTATTTTTTGTCACTGATTGCTGTAATTCCTGCCTTGAAGAACGTTGATGACGATGAAAAGGTATAGCACTACATGTAGCTCAGTTGTCATATCCAGGAAGACTGCAAACCATCATGTATAGCCTAGATGAGGGAACTATTAAATATGAAATTGAGTTTTCATTGGTCGATCACAGTTCTCTATTTCTATGGGCTTCCTTTCAGTGAAGCGAGATGCCCATCTAGTAATACATTTGATAGTTTGCAGTTACCTGTCACTGACATGCACCTGTCATCTTGTTCATCTCAGCACAGAGTGATATACTGTATGTACACATATCTAAGTATCAGCACACACTGTATGTATGGGCAGATGTTTTGTACACTGTTGGTCAGATGGTTTATGGGTTCAGTTTGACGTTGGGGTAGCAGCCAGTAGTCTTCTCGTTTTTCCTGCAATTTGGACGCAGTAGTGCTACGCGGTTGCTCCACTTGTATGACATTTCTGGATACCAAGTGATCATATGGACAGTCTTCCATAAGGAAAAGGGAACAATGTTTGCTCCTTTTTTCTTCCCACAATGCCTTTCTACCATTGTGCCAAATCACCCAAGCTGTATTACAATAAGGCTTACCGTGATTGCCTAAAGTATGGTGATCTACAGTTGGACATGTGTATAGGCTAGATGCAAACAATTACATGTACAAGTGACTGAAACCCAGCAGGTTGCCGTGGCTAATACCCTCCAGTAGATTTATTACATTTGGATGGTACCATTTACAGTTTTGAGAAAGTACACTGTACATGTCACTTTTGCATGTTCTTGTGTTAGTAACATGCAGTGTACATGTACAGTGTACAACACAGGTGACCTCATTTCATGCATTGCCTCAGTAACTGTCATCAAATCAACAAATATCATCACGTGCCATGCTTTTAGAAACACTCCACACAATTAAGAAAAAACAACCTTGAATATTGTGCTGTTATTGTGTCTTGTTCTAATAAGCATGATGTTAACATTTCCAATTCGTCTATCTGGAATAATTCTCTATAAAATTCACCATATGTTTGGAGTCTAACTCAAGACATTCGCGTTCTTGTAGATTTGGTTGGACTCAAACAAGGCACTTGACTCTTGCAAGCACTGATACTTAATCTATGAAAAACTAATGCATACTACAATGAATGTCAAGTTCCTGTTTGTATGGTCAGTAGAGCATTGTTTTAAACCAGAATCTTTACGGGAAAACAAGTGGAAGTGTTTAAAGAAAAATGTGATTGAGAAACATCATACATTGACCATCATTGACCATCTTCATGTATCTAATGTTTGCCCAGCTGATGCTGATCCTTAAGATTGACGGAGAGCAGTTTTTGATTCTTTATTGAATCAAGATTTGAAGGGTCATTACACAGGTGTCTTTATTTGACTAGCCTACCAATTCTACAATCAAACAGGCTCCTTACATTTGGAAGCATCCATTCAGTACAGACCATTTCTCCCTCTCTGTATGCATTGGTGGATTTTCCGTATGCAGTTTATGAGAATAATCAAGCACGGAGTCTGCAAACAACTTGCCAACAACGTTTTTGTTCTCTGTCACTGATCATCTGAAAGAATTTATAAAGCAGTCCTTCACAGTTTTTTTTATGAAGCATTATCATATGATGCCTAACCTTAAGAACAGCACAGGAACAGATAGTCCACACTTGACCTTTTTATTAAATAAAGTATGAAATCACTTGGAATATTATGAACCTCCTTTGGGTTCGGGTCGTTTGGTTTTTAATGAAAACATTTGAATATTCCTATATTCATAAAATTCGAAAAGTTTTTTTTTTTTAACAAGCCTAGAAAATTGAAACGAATCATGTTTTTCAACTTCAAATTATTTAGAGGTGAAGATATTCCAGGAAATCACATTACATTGTGTATTGACCACTTCATGCTAGGGCACGTTATCAATGTTCGGCCGCTGGGCCGGGCACTTTCTCATTTTTATCCATTTTCAAAATTCTGCAAAAATTCATATTTTCATTTACTGCATGTGTACACCCAAAACAATGACTGTCCTATGGCCACTCTAATCTGACAGGCAACCTCCATTGACGCGTGAGTGTTGCAACCACCCATGTTGCCCAGTAAATAGCCCCCATTATGCAGTGTCACATAATTTCCTCTTTGTTCGGGGAATTAGCCCGGTGCGTTGATACGCTGGACGGCCAGTGTTACTATGCAGAGCGCATTTACCATGAGGATGAACTAGGTCATTCAGCGGGCATACCAACACAATGAACGCTGCACAGTGTGGCCAGATTTTATGAGCACACAGCGGAATTGTATCGCCAATTGCTGGAGCGCTGAAGTGCACACTTTTGTCCCTGCTGATAATCTGCGGGCGCTGGCAGCGGCAAACTATGACACTGTTTCCAAACAGTGACGGTTATGTAAATATTAATACATATTGAGTAAGGGTAAAAGCCATATTCAAATGACAGATTACTTCTGCTAATGGCCAGCACTCTGCACTGACAGTGTACGAACCTTCAATGGCAAGTCCCAGCAGCTCGGTCTTTTGTTTCCAAGTTTGGTCACCCCGGCCATGAATAAAGGCCAGTTTTTTAGTCCAGTGAACTATTGTTGGCCCAAACCTTTGACTGACTGTAAGTACTTTTTTCTCAAAAGGGGGGGGGGTGCAGCAACTTTTCTTTTAAAGAAGGTTCCGATTTCAGGCACCCTGGCCTCGTGGCCAGTATTAAACATGCATTTGAGACTGGCTTGGGAGAATGGCCACGACGGCAAGGACATTATCAGCGTTCATTCTCTTGAGCAAAGTCTTAAATATTAGTTTAAGACTGGCCAAGCTCATATTTGTTCCCATTCATAAATACTGTTTTATTCATAGAGTTAAAAGAAGTCAACATATGATAGATATCCAAAGATTTTGTTCTAAAACTTTACTTGCTTTTTCCCAAACACCCCCATCCATTTTTTGGTATATTCGTTTTGAAAGTTGTCCAATAAAAACCCCCTTCAATGAACTTGGGTTGACCAATCACACCCAATTAAGCTGTCTCGTATCCATGTGCCAGAGTGTGATTTATGCAGCGGGCATTATTACCTATCTGCGGGCATTATCAAATGTTTATACAAGGTCATGTAACACGTTTTGACCAATAGAAGTAGAAAAACTGTCCCAGGTATTTATGAATAGAAATTAACTCCAATATATCAAAAACAAATTCCTGCATTGTCCAATTTTAAATTCCAAATGACATAACATTATCCAATACGTAAAACGCATTGGCTGAATTCATGTGTTTTTACAGACCATGTTAGTTTCAGCTTTTATGAATGCTCGCAAGTTTTTTTTATTGCAAGCTTGTTTTTCAATGTTTGTCCATCTTGAAGTGACTGTAGCATGTTCAGTAGTTGGAAGAGTTGAGTTGGTTTGTCCTGCTGTGCCTGAATATGTAATGCTTTGCTTGTAATGTCAGTAATCCGCTAACTATTCTTTCATATACTTGTTGCTTTGCATGGTTGACTGCCAAAAGAAAAAGGTAGGAGCTCATTAATCTGTTTAATCCGATGCTAACACATCTTGTGATGTCATGTTCATCTAACACGTGCCAGTCATATTCAAAGCCATTGTATCTTTATAGTCAGTTTGGTATTCCAAACAGGCAAGGTCATCCAAGAACACAAAACCAGTTTGGACCTGTAGAGTGCTTGTGACTTAGCATGTGGCTAGTGCTGACCTTATGTGTGTTGATTTTCTTAAATAAACTACAACTCACCTCATTTTGAACTTGTGCTGTTGCAATACCAAAGTGGCTTTTTTTTTTATACCATGTATATCATGTATACCAGTTGACAGATTGCCACAAACTTAGAGTACTCATGACTTTCCTATTTCATTTGTTCATAGAAGTCAAATGGTCTGGATTATTGCCCTGAGCAGTTTACAGTCTTTAAAAACAGCCATTGCCAACCAGTGGACACGTACTTCTGGGTTTTTAACCACTTGCTGCCGGGTGGACTTTTCTTAAGCAAGACAAGATGCCGGCTCATTTTCAAGATTTTCCGTCTTCAAAATTCTTCAAAAATTCATTATTTCATTTAATGGCTGTTTATACCAAAATGAAGGACTCTTTGGGCATAAAACTGACAGGTAAAATTCATTGACTCCTGAATATTTCAGGCAGGCCTGCAGCCTTGGAAAAAGAACTCAGATTGTGCGGTGTTACGTAAAATTCTTTTTGTTCCCGAAACCGGCGCAGTGCACTGCTGATGTCTTTTCAATAGGGGCCAGATTAGCGTGCAGTGGTGTTGTGTGGCTCATCGCTGCAGTTGTGGAGAGCTTTTGTCTCCGGTGGTAATCCGCTCGCTCTAAATGCCTCAAACTGTGGTATACTGTTTCAAAAAAAGGCTGGATTATCTCCACTATTGAGAGCAAAAAAATGTCGGTAATGCCCAGCAGCTCAGTCTTTTGTTATAAGGCCCAACTCTTTTGTCCCAGTTCTGGGCTCTCCGGCTCTGCATATAAAGCCTATGTACTCGAAAACAAGTCGCCCGGCAGGGAGTGGTTAACCAAGCATCTTTTCATGTCTGCACCATGTAGCTAGTGGAAGCACGTTTGCTTGCAGTGTTATACACATAAAACAGCAGTGTAATTGAGATTTTTCTTTAGAATTGATAAAAATTGGCTTATCCCAATCTTCCTGTCCAAAATCCACATGACTGGTCCATCAAGAATCTCTCATAGCTGTAAAGAATTCATCAGAGTTATCGAAATGATCTCGTACACTTTCATATTCATCCAAGCCATTTGTTTGAACTCACCATGTTGGAACGAAAGCAAGACTGCACAAAGAAGACTATTGTGGGATTGCTTCGCTAACCTCTTGCATCCATCCAAGCAGTCAGTGCTTGCTAGTGCAGCTTTTCCTTCAGTCTGACCATTCAAAGGGCCCATTCAAACCTGTAGATGCTGTTCAGACACTCTTCAGTCATTCTATTCAGTAACAGAATACCTTGTTTTAGTTACCATGCATCGGCATGATTATTTCCTGAAATATTTATTGGCACAAAGGCGTATTCACAGGAGTATCAAATGGGGTCAGCTCGTAAGTTTGACGCCTTATAATTCTGACGCCTCATAAGTCCGAAAAAAGCATTTAAAAAGTCTGACACCACATAGGTCCGACGCCTCACAAGTCCGATGTTTGATTTGACGCTCGTTACGAGCGCATGATGACAGCACTAGGAACAAGACTGGTTCCCGGTGTCAAATATGGTGTATTATTTATGACATGCAGGGTTGCGTTCTGCAGGCCTGCACTCCTCCGTGTTTCAAAGTCAATCGCACTGACGCCTCATATTAAGTCCGACACCTCGTTGGTCCGATGTCGGATATATGAGGCGTCGGACCTTTGAGGCGTCAGAACTATGAGGCTGAAAAAAAAAATTGCCCATAAATCCGACACCTCATTATTCCGACGCCTCATAAGTCTGAAAATTCAGACTTTTGAGGCCTAGGACCTATGAGGCGTCAGACTTACAATATGCACCCTATCAAATTTCTTTTGAAACTGGAGCCATAAAGCGTTCTACATCTAGCAGCAGAATTTAACCTGAACAGTACTGAATTTGTCAACAGAATCTGTCAATACATATGGTGTTTCATGATTTCTAAGGTTCAATATTTCCATCTAGCTGTACGGTATACATTTTAAACTATTTATTATGCCCTTTGATTGGAAGACTGACTCTCATTCTTTGTTTGTTGTGTGATCTGAGTTGCATTAAGTGCTCACAATTTAAACAGGGATGTGCTTGTTCAGAAGTTTTTGAGTGATTTTAATACAGATTTATGCCAATTAAACAAAAATGAGAATGGAAAACTTCCACAATTGACCTCAAAATTCCAATGTTCAAATCACATTTTGTGCCGTGAACTTCTCCTTTGGTTCACACACATGCATTCCTTGTAAATTTCTCCCAGATGGGTTCCATGAAGTTTCTTGGTAGTGTCAATAACAAGTTTTAAACATAAGCCTATGTTTGATGTGGAGACATACAAGTGCAAAAACAGAGGCTGTTGGGTTTAAGCTTCTGTAGCTCCACATGTTTCTGCTATTCCACTGTTTCAATAGTTTTTGTTTCCTATCGGTTTAATTATATTTTGGTTGCTGTCCTCATGAGTTTCCTTCTTACTCTGTCTTAATGTGCCCATTGTAGGTCACAAGTACTAGAAACAATATTATAAAATAATGCTGTCATTTCATAATAAAAAACAAATTCAGGATCTTGTGTTCTACTTGTTTCAGATGTTTGGAGTGAAGCATTTAAAGTATATATACATGAATGCAGATCAGTCAGGTGGGAAATGAACGTCATTTCCATTGTATCACTGTGGTGCTTGAGTTTGAGTATCTAGCAGGGGATACCTTGAATGTCATTTACGTGAATTCTTGGTGTGCTGTCTTGATCACAGGACGAGTGGTCTTTGTTGATGGTAAGCAAACAGCGAACAATGAAGCTACGAGTCTCTGAATATGATGAGGAATTCTCTGAAGACTATGCAGATGGATCACAGGTAGGTGCACATGACATTTATGAAATCAAAGTGGTATTTAGAATTGCCTGTACGAATCACTGGTTGGTCTGATTCACCATTGTTACCACTACAAATTGTGTTCTTCTCTGGTTGTATTCCTTGCTTCTCTCACTGAAGGTAACGTTTGAATCAACGTAAACTCTAAAAGAAAATGATGTCAAAACTGTCCATCAGCCATAAATTCACTGCTGTGAAAGAAATTACACGGCACTACAAGAAGAAAAACACTCCATGGAAAAATCATGTAGATTTTGTCATTTAAGATTACGTGTTGAAGTTTCACATGGCACATTGTCCAAATGAAGGCTCTAGGTTGAAATATTACAATGGGATTTGGGGTAATTGCCTGTCCTTAAGCTGATAAAGTTGGCTTTCAAGAAAGTGATGAGATTCACTCATATTGAAACATTTCAGATAGGTCTGTGATTCCGTTTGTCTCACCAGTTTGATTTGTGCTTGTCCTTTAGTTCCATGCTGACTTGTATCACATGGTTTGTGAGTTGTCTACTGAAGAAGGAATGGATAGAATGGGCAACACTGACTTCCGCTTTGTAGATGCTGTGTATCAGCTGCTTTCAGCTACTAGACTCTTAACTTATTCCTAAATTGTAAGTGCTTCATGGTTCCAGTCACAAGAATACATGGGATTGCAGTACATGTACTGCAAATATCTGCATTCCAAAATGAAAAGACATTCAAAGTTGCTGTTTTTATATATTACACGGATTGAATAGTTTAAGTCTTTATATCATGATTTTTCATTTCGGGTCCTTTACTGAAATTGTTATCAAGAGTTGAATTAGTATTTCCAAAGACAATATGCCGGTACTAAAAACCCTTTTGTTACAAGCATATTCTAGTTCTATGTACATGTTTTTAACTCTAACCCTCAAGTGTCAGGGGAAAATCATATTGAAATTGGAGAATTCAGCTCTGTTAGAGTGAAGTATTTGAATGTCTGACTTTATTGCAACTTCCATGTGCAATTATTCTTCTTGTCAACCCCAAAAAGGTTTACCAATGCTGTGTGCAAAATACACAGTGGATAGCTCTTTCTATGTTGGCACTTCCTAGAGCAAGCAAATGAATGCTGTGTGACTAACTGCATAGAATACAAAGTATGATATTAGATTGTAATTGTTTTTACATTTCCCCTCAGGAGGGGGCATGAACTGTTGAATTGGGCAATATGTGGTTTGACAGTACTCATGTTTGGCTTGATATTGTTGAAGTAACTTCTCAAATACTGACTTGGAAAAAAGTGGCTTTTACACAATTTAGGGAAAACAACCAATCTAACATCTTGAAGAATAGTATGTTAATCCCCCACAACGCTAGCCACACTGTCTCAAGTTCCTGTGCCTTTTGTTTAGCATGTTCACATCGTGTGTATATTTTTGCCTCACATTGTGTAGTGTCCAAGTTAATCCCACATGATTGTTATACATGTGAAATTGCTCTCCACTAAATCCATTTGGTCCATATCTGGTTCGTAAGTTTGATATTTCAGTTTAAACCACGACAACTGCACGTAGAGTTACCCATGGAACTGGAAGGTAACACCCAACTTCAGTGTTGGTCCAATTAGAGCCTGCAATGAGTGACCAGTGCATCAACATGTATGACGAAGCCACTTATATGTACAAACTGAATATTATACAATGTATACCCTCTCCCACATGCTTATTCTTTGTATAAATATTGCCATGGAGTGTTATTGATAGGAGACTTGAAAATGGCCTAAATTTGGAAATGAGTTGAAAAAGAACAAGTACACGTGGATTAGGAAAAAGTCCATGTCTATTCAGTGTAGGTATTCAGTGTTAAGCTGTAGCAGAGGTATTTTTTGTGATTCGAGGCAAGCTTTTGCCTGACCACCATCTCTGGAATGGACTGGTTCCTTTGTGCCGTTCTTATCCATCGTAAACAGTGTATTGTGGCAAGGCATCTCTCATGTAACTATAAAGCAGAAGCTTGCGCCGAATCACAAGGTATAACTCCAGTGTCTTTAGTATGGAGAATTCAAATTGTTAGGTTTGCATAAGTACAAAGAACTCAGTGTACCAGATTCTATTCAAATTTAACTTCTTCATTCCACTTGATCTGATTTTCACTTGTTTGAATTGCATTCCCTTTTGGGATATATACATGTATATATGAGTGTGTGTATGACGGGCATTACTAGTATCACAGGTATTTGACCTCATCTGTGGTAACCTGAGGCCCTTGGCTATTGGATTTTCTAGCACACAATTGTGAATAGCTCTAGTGATTTTTGATTGCAAGTCAGTTCAGTTTACTGTTGTCACTAGCGGCTATGTGGTGACATTTGCTTTAGTAAGGAAGTCTGTAGGAAGTTTGCCCGTTCAAAGACCAATAATTATTCGACATTCACAATTAAAAGTTACTGTATATTGTTCATGGTCACACTGTATTCAAATGTATTTGAAGTTACTGTAAAATTAATCTTATAAATATATTTGTTGCAAAGATGTTTATTTTTCCCTGTTTTGTAGGTATGAATGGATTGGTTTGATGGACTTCTTTTAAGGTTGTTTATGTACAATACAGATATATTGCCGTGAGTGTAATGTGTAAAAAACTACTAATTTGATCTGCCGTCCATTTTCTATCACCTTGACTACAAAAAATACGAGTATATTTTGTTAGTTGCATATGGTTTGTTAATAAAGTTTGTTGAACTTAACTTGTACATCCACGGTGGACTTTGTATCTGATACTGTTTAGTTTGTTGAACTTTACTTGTACATCCACGGTGGACTTTGTATCTGATACCGTTGCTGTTCTGGCATTGTCAGTGGCCTGTATTGAGGACACAGCTAGTACATCCTACAGAGGTTAAAGATGATCAAGCAACACAGATACCTGAACTAATTTTGAGGTCTTTTTATTTGGCAACTTACTTGAATATTTGTCAACTCAAAGATTGATAAGGCTCATACTGTAGTAATGAAGCTGTATAGGTACATGTACATGTTGGGGATAGGCCTTGAAGGTGTTAGATTGAAACATGCAAAACAGGCATACACTGCCTCATGACCGATGCAGGTGCGTTAAACAGTAGCTCATGGAACTCTAGGTACTTCAAGAGGGAAGCACCAATGCATACAATATTTAAGACAAGTTTACATTCCTGTTGCTAGTAATCCCTGAATAAAATGACCACATTGGTGCAAGAGTGCACAACAAATCAAAAGCTGCTGTGTTTACGATGCATTCAAGTACATGTACAAGAAGTCCAAATCTTGTCAGTACAGCTTTTCTTCCAGCACTACCTTGCGAAGGGCCTACTGAAGTAAATTCAGTTCTTTCTATGTTACAAAAAACAAGGGGTATTGAAAGCATTTATTTCACGTGAAGTATCTAACGATGGATACGCAACCATTTCAAAAACATCGATCGTAAATTTAATGTTTTCCCCATTAATTGTGACCCCAGATGAATGAAAAGATCCTGCGTTTCCCCGCCCACAACACATCCCCTTTTTGACGTTCACGCTCCAAGGCTGATTGGATGACGTCATTGCCAGAATGCTGAATGTACAGTGTACATGTACATAGCGCACAGTACATGTGCATGGCAGTATCGCACACTTGCAATAGACCACACGTTGTGTAGCTTGGCCCACAGGCAACACAGTCTCAGTTCAAGAAAAACAAGTTGGGACTGGGTCTGTTAATTTCTGCCTTGAACTGAGACAGTGTTTGCCTGGGGATCAGGTCAACGCGGACCCATGCCAACTCGGACCCAATACTAACTCTGACCCACGACCATCTCGGACCCACAACCAACTCGGACCCATGCCAACTCAGATCTACCTCGAGTCAACTCGGACCCACTAAGTCTTATGGTTGCACTACACCAAATACTTTTTGTGAAAGAAATACTCTGAATCGGAAACTATCGATCCCAAATTCGGGATTTATATAAATAATTCTATGATCCCTCGTGATTATGGCCCGTCTTATTGTAAAAAAAAAAACAAAAAAACGTGGGATCACAAAATATTAATGATGCGCTTGCGAGCAGACATACAACGCTTCAAAATTGTCTCAAAGTTTAAGACAATAGGAGATATTCCACATTTTTACTTTAAAATGATTTGATTTGTGTTGTTCGAAATTGCCAACCTATTTGCGTTATTTGGACAGTCAGTTTAGGCCTGTCTGGATGAATTCCTCCATCTACCTGAATTTTGCCGGTATTCGGGGGGTGGGGATGAGGCAAGGTGGAGGTGTAAGACTTGCCAGGCCAAAAAAATTTGAAAAGCGAGGTGGGGGAAACAGCATGAGACATTATAAAAGGTCATTGTTCGTGACATTGATGTATATTTGCAGTATGTGTTGTACGCATGCAGCATCTGTTATGTACATCAGAAGGGCCTTTCTGTGGCTTTTTATTGCAACAAAAATTTGGGGGGCTGTTTGGTGAAAGTTCATTCGATTTCTTCTGGTGATCTGGGGTGCCAAAAAAACCTAGGAGAAAGGGTGTCAATGATTTGGTACTGTCAATCACACTCCAAAAGCTGCTCCCATTGGTTGTCCCAAGCTCCCACTCCCCGATCATAGGGTTTCAAGAATGGAAGGTGACAAAATCAGTCTTTCTGGTCAATCACGCCGGTACCTCGGAAGCTAATACCTGATAAAGATTCCAGATTACAAGTGGCAATTAAGACATCAAAGGAAATGTGCCTCCATAAAAATACGACGCTCGTCGGTTACTTATAACTTGTTCCAAGACATCACTAATATCAAATCTAGTCCGATCATAGGGTTTCAAGAATGGAAGGTGACAAAATCAGTCTTTATGGTTAATCACGCCGGTACCTCGGAAGCTAATACCTGATAAAGATTCCAGATTACAAGTGGCAATTAAGCATCAAAGGAAATGTGCCTCCATAAAAATACGACGCTCGTCGGTTACTTATAACTTGTTCCAAGACATCACTAATATCAAATCTAGTCCGATCATAGGGTTTCAAGAATGGAAGGTGACAAAATCAGTCTTTCTGGTCAATCACGCCGGTACCTCGGAAGCTAATGCCTGATAAAGATTCCAGATTACAAGCGGCAAATAAGACATTAAAGGAAATGTGCCTCCATAAAAATACGACGCTCGTCGGTTACTCATCACCGTGACTTGTTCCAAGACATCACTGATATCAAATCTAGTCCTGTACGGTTTTTAACCACCATGCCTGTTCAAACTCGAAAACGGAGAAGTTCTGGGAAGTCTGTGCCACTGTTTCCCTGCATCACGTGTAGAGAGGACGTTACATCTTTGCAGCATGCAGTAAAAGTGTCATTTACCAAATGCTAAAATGTAAAAGTGGACAAAATAAAAATTTCCAAAAAGTTAATCACGCTCCTGGGGTTGGGTCCGAGTTGACTCAGGGTGGGTCCGAATTGGTCGTAGGTCCGAGTTAGTCTTGGGTCCGAGTTGGTTGGGGGTCCACAAATTTTGCGAAAGCGGTGCGAAAGGTTCCAAAAATCATGCGGAAATTGCGAAAACGAGAAGCATTGTGCAGCGAACTCTGAAAATGCTCAACGCTTGAAGAGTCCATTATATGGAATTCCATATCTGCCGTCGCCCGTCGTCCGTCGCATTTTGCTTTTTGTTGCGTCCAAATTCTGCCAATTGCCAGTTCCAAACATGCCATTTTCCGTCGTGCGTCGCCCGTCGTGCGTCGTCCGTCGTGCGTCGTCCGTCGTGGTCGCCCGTCGTGCGTCGCCCATCAAATGGGTTGCATAGGACCTGCCAAAA